GAGCAGGGAAAGGGAGAAAGGGAGAGTTATGAAAGGCAGGCTCAAGCCTCCCTGCTTCAGGGAAGAGCTGGGGGCCTTTGTGGAGCTGATAAGGATGCTCCCTCAGACCTTTCTAGGCACTCATTAGAGGAAGTGCTTTGCTAAGGATCCAAGATGATATTTCTATTTTCCCTCTTAGCAGCGAATGGAATTTGCACCATCCAGGTCAGATGGAAAATAGGAGCTGGGAAAATTTGACACTCTCATTGATTTGCTCTCCTCACGAGAGAGAAGTATGACTTCAAGATTGCAATTAGGAGCCAGCTTGCTCAGGGTTCCTCTCTTGAGCTCAGGTGCCGCACAGATCGTGGATTGCAGGTCCTGCCCCTCATCTCCTGAGGAGGACTTGGCTTCCTTCATGGTTCTGAGCTGGAGCTGAACCTGCCGAAGCTCCCAAAGATTACCTGGCTCTTTACTCTCGTTTTTTGGTCAGGCCTTTGAGCAGATGGCAATTTTTCCAGTGTTTTAAAAGTATTAACTTCCTTTCAAACATTCTTTAACCTTTAATGTTTTGTAACTTGATGAAAAGGTCACTTTGTTCTGAGGATGCAGCTGTCCCTTAATTATTCAGCTATAGGTGATTTCTACCCAAATCCTCAACTTTTCTTTTTTTCTTTTTTCTTTTTTTTCCCTAGGGGTGGGTGGGTGTGGGCAGTTGCTGAGAGTGAAGCCAGGAGCCTTGTACATGCTAGGCAGGTGCTCTACAGCTGAGTTACTGGTAAATTCTAAGCAAGTACATCCTTGCCCCTAATTCACACACACACACACACACACACACACACACACACACACACACACACACACCTGGAGATATGGCTCAGTGGTTAAGACTGACCTGACTGCTCCTCCAAAGGACCTGGGTTTATTTCCCAGCACTCACATTGCAGCTCACAACCATCTGTAACTCAATGCCCTGTCTGATCTCCTTGGGCACCAGGTGCTCAAATGGTGCACAGACATATATGTAGACAAAACATCCATACACATGAAATTAAAAGAATCATTACATATCATCTATCTATCTATCTATCTATCTATCTATCTATCTATCTATCTATCTATCTATCTATCTATCTATGTGTGTGTGCACATTATGCATATGGAGGTTAGAAGGCAACTTGTAGGAATCAGTTTTCTCCTTCTATTGTGTGGTCCTTAGGACTGAACTCGGGTCATCAGGCTTGACAGCAAGCACCTTAACCCACTGAGCCACCTTACCACTTCCATATCTAGCCTCTGATTCTTTATGGGATCCAAACCATGCATATACATGTAATACAGACCAATATTTTCCCACTAAATCTGTATATCTATGGACATGTATGTTTCTATTTGTATTTATACAATTATATTTTGCACATGTGTGTTCATATACATTTGTATTTGCAGGTACTCTGTATTTGCATTTGCATATATTTATATTCATATAACTTGTATGCAGGGACTTGGGTTTACATGGATACCTAGACTCCTTCAGTATTCCTATACAACTTCTTTATAGGAAAATAGATACATGATTTACTTGCCTGAATGGTGAGTTTCCCTAAACATTTGATGGCCACCACTTATTTTAAGTGTTCCTCACTTTTAAAAAAGATTTAGACAATGTCCAAACAGGGTCTCACTGTGTAGCCCAGGATGGCCTAGAGCCTGCCAGGTGTGTCCAGCCTTTTGGTTAGCACACGTTGTCATCTACAAAGTTCATACCTGAGAACCACAGAATCGGGTTCCACAAAGGAAAACAGAACTTGGAAAACAAATTTCATAATGTTTTAAGTAAGTTTACAGTTGTGTCAGGGCCGCTGTGATTCTTTACTCAGCTGTGATTTGTTTCAGGTCAGACATACCTTGGAAACCTAGAGACACTAAGAGGGACTGGTCCTGAGTGCTGGCTTTGAAGACGTGCACCGCTGTGTGCTGGGTACATAGCCTCAGCTTCCCACAGCCCCCTCTCCTTCTTCTTACCTTTCCAAGCTGATGTATTCTTGCAAACAGAGGCCCAAGTGTGTTAGACTTATATTTAAAATAAAAAGGAAGTTAGTAGGTTCAGATGAAGAGGTTTTTCTACATGGAAACTACACAAAGCTCATGTTCAGACCCTGCAGAATGTGTTTACTTGTTCAAGAGGTTATGGGTGTGACGCCTTGAACCTCTTCTCCTCTGAGGTTTTTAGATGAGAAATCTCCAGGCAAAGAGAAGCTGTTGGATCCTGGCACTCACCTTAAGTCTTTGTAGACTTGTATAAGAATAAATCTGCTCTAAGCTATGTACTAAATCATGAAGAGCACTCTGTAAGATTAACATTCATTAAGTGCAAGAGACAGAATTGATACTTAACTTAAAAGCATATACCTTTAAAAGGTCTCTGGATGCAGGAAAGGTGAGGAATAGCAGCAACAAGCCTTGGAGAACAAGCTTGGTGGTCTCTCCTGGAAAACATCATCTCAGGATTCATCACCTGGAATGGTTTCTTGCACATTCCTGACTGCTAGATGTTTTCCTGCATTTCCGTTGGCTCATTGCTGACTTCCTGTATCTTTGTGGGAGACATTTCACAAATGAAGAGAAGCAAAGAATATTTCTAAAACATTCTCCCAGCACCAGGGAGGCTGAGGCAGGAGGATGGTGAGTCCAAAGACAACGACACACACAATGACTATATATGCATACATATATGATGAAAGTTAAAGAAAAAAGAATGTATAGGATTATTTAGATCATATGCAAGTATGATTAAGTAAAATAAATAGGAAATAAAACTTTTCTGTTCTCAGATAGTAGTCATAGAATTCGAACAGGTGAGGCAGGAGGATTGCAAATTTGAAGCCAGCTTGAGCTACATTGTGAAACCCTGTCTCAGAGCTGTGGAGAAGAAGTTTTAAACGAGTTCTTGCTGTAGCCATCCTTGAAAGTCCCCTCTGGCTCCTGCTAATTCCAGTCCTCACTTCCTGGAGGGCACTGGGTACCTCTATCCTTCTCTTTGTCAGTTTCCACACTTAGATAAAAATGGAATGACACTAAACGGATCATTTGGTATTGTGTCTTTTACTCAGTAGTGTTTTAAGATTGAACTATGTGGTCATATATAGCTGATTTGTTTTCAAATTTTTATACTATGACTACATTAAAGTATATTAGGCATTTCTATTTTTTTTCTTTTCAAGGGCCTATGATTAAAAAAAAAAGTGCTAGCTAGACATCCTATATGCTTGTTATCTCAGAATTCTGTAGTAAGATGATTCTGAGTTCTAGGCTGGCCTGGGCAACATGCTACACAGACCCTGTTTCTGGAAATGGAGAACTGCAACCTCTGTGAGAACACACACTCTCCAGCATGTATATGCAGTGGTGCAGTTGCTGGATGGCAGAGCGCAAGTGTCCAACATCATTCTCTGAAGTGGCTGTCTGTTTCCCACAAGCAGGTTTGCAGTGCCCCCGGCTCTTCACCCTTGTCAGCAGGAGGCATTTTTAGCTGTGGTTTTTCTTCTCAGTACTTCTGTATCTGGTGGTCATAGCTGCCATTTATTGATGCACACATTTCTCCCTATGATTTGTAGTGAGTTTGAACACTACCTGTTTCTATTTTTGATCATTTGGATTTTGGAGCATGTTCAGTTCCTCTTCTTGTCTTCTGTTAGATATATGTTTTATATTAATCTTGTTTTTTTCCTTTTCTTCTTTTTTTTTTTTTGGCATGAGGAAGGGGGGGGGGACTTGTTATCTCATCTCATACTTCCAGATAACAGTCCATCACTGAGAGAAGTCAGGGCAAGAACTACAGTACACGAAAGAACCATGGAGGAAAGCCTCCTGCTGGCATTCTCTCCAGCCTCTGCTCAGCTAGCTTTCCACATGAATATATAATTTATGACTATTATTATTATTATTATTTCTTTGAGACTTTCATAAACTGTGCTTGGACCGTACACATCCCTCTCCCCTATCTCCTCCCAGGTCCACTCAGCGTTTCATACCCACCCAGCTTTGCATCGTTACTTCCCTTTAAACCTCTCCAGTTCTCTCAGTGCTGTCTGTGCCGTCTGTGTGCTCATAGGTGTGCGGCAATGCACTGGAATGCCAGACCTCCCAGGAGTCACACACACCCTAAAGGAAACTAACTCCCCCTCTACTAGTAGTTATTAACTACCAATAGCTCCTCAGCTAAAGGTGAGACTTCATGCTCACCATTTCAGGAAAATCCTTTATTGTCCAGTTCATCTTAAGTTGAACTTTGGACCTCTTCAGAGACACTTCAGTAGATCCCAGGTTGCAACCCAAGAATTCTCCAGTTTACATATATTCCAGCTCCCTGGGACATAAGGATACAATATGTTATGGTAGATCCCAGGTTCTGGCTCAGCTTCATCAATAGGAATCTAGTTTCATGCCTCCTCATGCTCCCCTCTGTCTCCAATATTATCTCACTGTATGGATGCTTCATCTCAGAAGAGCAAGTGGACTTCAAACATGAAATAGGACTCTGTGAATCTGTGTCCATATCCAACAGGAGGAGAATGAAACAGTAATGATGTAGATAAGAAAAGAAAAACTTTTCCATTCTTGCTAGTCCTAGTATTCAAGAGGCTGAGGCAGGAGGTTTACAAATTTGAAGCCAGCTTGAACTCTGTAGTAAAGTCCCACTCCCCACAAAATAAAAAAAATAAAATAAAAAAAAATTGGCTTCTCAAATAAGCTAAGTCCTTCCTTTCAGTTTTCTTTCTTTTATAATTTAATTTAATTTTACATATCAGCCACAGATTCCCCTGTCCTCCCTCCCCACAAACCCACCCTCCCCACCCCTGCCTTCCCCCCAGCCCACCCCTCATTCCCATTTCCTCCAGGGCAAAGACTCCCCTGGGGATTCAGCCCAACCTGGTAGATTCAGTCCAGGCAGGTCCAGTCCCTGTATTTGGAACCAGCTCCAGGTTCCAAACAGCCAGCACATGCACTGAGGACAGGTCCCGGTCCCACTGCCTGGGTGCCTCCCAAACAGTTCAAGCAAATCAACTGTCTCACTTATCCAGAGGGCCTGATCCAGTTGGGGGCTCTTCCTTTCAGTTTTTAAGGATTATTTCTAAGCAGTACCAGTAGCTATAACCAGTGAAGGCACAACCCCAACAGGCTCTCCAATCACCCCAAGAAGGCCAGAATGAATACAGAGAAAAGTCAACTTCAGACAGCTCCCACACTCACCACCATCTGCTGATTTAAAAATCCGTTCTTTTTAATTGCATAAAGTAAAACTCACTTTTTTACATATAGTCTTTCTGGTTCTGACAAATCCTAAAGTCCTATTACTATTGCAATCAAGATTTGGAACAGGCCAGGCCTGGTAGTGCATGCCTATAATCCTAGCACTTCAGGATGAGGCAAGAGGATTGCAAGTTCAAGACCAGTATGAACTACATAGTAAAATCCTGTGTCGAATCTCCCACAATACCAATATTTCTTTGGCTCCCCTTTTATCGTTAAATTATCTACTACCTGCCCTTACTTCCCGGTCCCTTAGGCCAGAAACCCCATCCACCTGTACCACTGAGAGGAACCATTGATCATTGATGGCTCATAGTTTATCCTAAAGCATAGCATGAATAAATGAAGTTACACATGGTGTCCCTTTGGGAATCTGCTCTCTATGTTAATACAAGGCATTTGAGACTGGTCCATGCTGAATCCATAAGCTATTTCATATCATTGCTGAGATGAATTCTTTTGTGTGGATGTACAGAGCCAGTTGACCCATTCATCAGCTGATCAGTGAGCTAAGGTGCTGTAAACATGCAAGTCCAGGTTCTGTGTGAGAGAACATAACTTTTCCTTTTTCCTGGCTGTGACGGATGCATCTATATGGTAAGAATGTGTTTAGCTGTACAAGGAGCCACCAAATTAGGCTGGGGTATAGTAGCACACATCTTTAATTCCACCATCAAGGAGGCAGAAGTAGGCAGATCTTTGTGAATTCAAGGCCACCCAGGGCTACATAGTGAGACATAATCCTTAGAAAAAAATAGAGAGAGCTGAAAGATGCCTCAGCTGTTGAGTATACTTACCACTCTTGCAGAGGGCCTGAGTTTAGCTCCCAGCACCCACAGGGCAGCTTACTACATTTGAAATCCAACACTCTTGTCTCTGACCTTTATGAGTACCAGACACATACCTGACACACATTCAGACAAAACATTAACAGACAAAAAATTAATTAATTAAAATATTTTTATAAGAAAAGAAGGGGGAAAAAACTTCCAAATGGCCTTTGTTGTGGTGCTAGAGCCTGGAATCCAGGGTCCTTCGTGTACTGCACATGTGCTGTACCGCTGAGCTACATCACTAGCCATGCCAAGTCACTTTCTGTTCTTGTTTTGTAGTGTTGGAGATGGAGCTCAAGCATGCAAATCAAGGGCTCTACCAGGAAGCTGCTGCCTCAGCCTTACCAAATGGCACTCTTGGCTTTTTATTCATGTGTGGATCTGTGTGCTTGTGTGACACAATATGTCTAGGTGCCTGTAGAGGCCAAAGGAAGGCTTAAGGCCCCTTAGAGCTGGAGTTATAGATCACTGTGAGCCTCCCTCCACTGGAACTGTAACCAACACGGGTCTTTGAAGAGCAGTGTGAGCTCCTAACTGCTAAGCCATCTCCAAAGTCAGCTGCCCCACTCAGTGGCTCCCAAGGGGGTGTATTTGTATCTCAATCAGCCTCCAAGGCAAAGATCTACATCCTTCTAGAGATTGTAATGGACATGAAGGTGCTTGGTAGAGAGAGGGTGCAGTATGCCAAGGTGGGAGATTTGGGAAGAAACATATCTGAACTCTGTGTGTGTTTAATAAATATATATGTAAGTTAAAGATTTTGAGTGGGATACAATAGTTACTAAAGCACAAATCCATAATGTAACTGTCATATATTTTTTAAAAGGATTATACCAGTGCAGCATTGTGGAATGAAGAGATTTTGTACAATGGATTTTGATCATATTAGTTCCCCATTCCCTCTTGTGCCCTCTTTTTATGGTACCTCCTCCACCCAGGGCTCAGGGATCATTGAGGAAAGAGGGACAGAAAGATGATACGAGCCAGAGGCATTGGATGGATGCAGTGAAACAGTAACAGGGCAGTTACATATATGAGCTTCACAACGTGGTTAAGTCAGACAAAATCCCTGCACAGAGCGGGGAGTTGGGAAGAAAATCCCACCCCAGCCGAGGAACTAATGACAATTGATAGCTGCCGAGGGAGGGAGAAGCCAGTTTCTTTAAGGATGTAGCCCCTAGTAAGATGGCCACACTCTGGTGGAAGGCCACACATCCACAATCACACAGACAGCACAAACTGAATCCAGTGGATTGATATCTGAATTCTTAAGTCCTGTAGGATCTAGCTGATCCTGAATATGGACAGGATACTTCCAATCGTAGGTCATTTGCTTCTCCCATGGGGTAACAAATAAACACCTCTCTACCTATTTTCCATATGCAGCAAGGGCACTGCCTCTCTAGGTTGAGCCAGCCAAGGTTTACAAAGCATGTCAGAGGACAATTTTATTCCCCAATTCAGAAAGCAAAGTGAGATAATCATCTGGACCGCTCTTATGCCACTGTGGCAGGAACTAGGAAGGGGCCATATCCAAATCACAGTGCGGGAGCTGGCAGGGACCTTAGCAATTCTCACTTGAAAGATGATACTATGATATGGACTCTTCTCCCCAGTATCCCCACCAGGGACTCAGGCAGCCTTCTAGTAAACAAAATCAGCCCATTTCCTGTATGACCTCTGAAAACACAGGGCAGCGTTCCACGTCCCACCAATGGCGGTGTGGACAAGTCTGTGTATCTGTGTTCACAGTACAAAGGGAGACAGAAAGGAGTCTACAGTGCCGCGTGCCTGGTGACCTGGCCAGAGCCCAGGTTTCTGGTTTACACCCCTTAAGCCTTGGCTTCCTTAGTCTTGGTGCCCCTTTTGAGATTCTGAAGGCACCTTCTCACTTCAAAGGTCCTGAGAATATGTTTAATTAGAACTTGGCCATACAGCCTTTTAAAATAAAACAGAAGGGACCAGCTAATTATATTGCTCCACGTTCTGTGGCAAACATATATTTTTTTAATAAAACACTTTCCTAACCAGAGTAATCCCTTGAGACGCAAATCCTCATTTATAAGAAGTTTCCCAAAGGGAGTTAAAGAGAAAGACTTCTCTAAAGAAAAGAAACAAAGAGGGTGTATGTGTGTGTGTGTGTGTGTGGGGGGGTTGTTTGCAAAGAGCTTTCAAAAGAGGCTCTCTTGATGAGGTTAAAATAGGGATGTTTCAAGGATGCCGAGTTTTACTGCAAATACTATCCGTTCCTGTCTTTTTTTTTTTTTATCATGCATTTCCTCTTTTGATTAGTGCAGCAAATGCTGATATTTCTCTTTCTGGTGTGTTGCATAAGTGCAGTATTTAAATAAACAAGTGATTTTCTTCTCAAATGTTCTTTGTCTCCTGCTGTGTGGCCCTGCATTGCTCTGCTAGGGCCTCCTTCTCTAGACAGGAACCTCACAGGACTGGCTATGGTTGCTGGGGTGATGCTAGGTAGGGGCTTTTGCCTGAGTGCCTGTCAGCCTAGGGTGGGAGAGAGGATTCTCCCTCACCCACCCACCCCACACTCAGATGTGAGATGACTTGGATGCTTGTGTTTGGATCCCCTGGAGCTGGAGTTACAGGTGGTTCTGAGTCACCTGATATGGGTACTGGCAACCAACTCCCATCCTCTGCAAGAGCAGCAATCACTTTTAACCACAGAGCCATCTCTCCAGCCCCTATTTATTTATTTTTTAATTTAGCATAGAACATAATAGTTTTCCTTATGGCATCTTCATACGTAATTTTTCTTATGGGGCCCTTCCTCAACACCCTCCTCTCTCTCTTGACCTTAAGGTTGCTGAATCTCTTTCTCCTCCTTAGGAGGTCCCCTTTTCTACCTTCATTCAATTGTGTTCCAATATCCTCTCTTTCCCAGATCATCTCTGCCTCCCTTGGGATGCATTCTTCCTCTTCCTGCCCCTCTCCACTTTCCTGACCTAACCTGGATTTGAATGCAGATCTTTGCTGCACTCTCCACTCTCCAGTGCCAGAGCACGCTGGTAGGTGGGGCCAGTCTCTGGGGCTCTGTGCTACTATAGTGGTTTTGTGACTCTTCCTCATACAAAGTGGGGAACCAACAGACATCTTTTCGTGTGTGTGTGTGTGTGTGTGTGTGTGTGTGTGTGTGTGTGTGTGTGTGT